AGTGCAAAATGACAATCGAAGATCAAAAGTGACAGAAACGGAATGGGGGGCACGATCGAGAAGGGACCGGTACAATTATTATTGTAATGATGTAATTTAACGGTTCTGCAATGAGGTATCGGGGGGTACTACTGTGGTAACTGTGGAGCCATTTATACCTTCTCAACAAATCAGACAGGCATGAAATGGGGCACAAAAGACAGGGAGGTGAGGAAATATGCCGCACGAGGGCATGGGTAGGGTAATCACGCATGTTTAAAAATAGAGCATACTCTACAACATCCCTCCATTTTCTGACTGCGGATTCAGCCTAGGGGCTTGGGGGGGGGGCCTTGAGTCTAACCCATGCAGTATACGCCGCAAGGCAGGGCTATGCACACACACACACACACACACACACGCGCGTTTGTGTTCATATCTGTGTGAGAACTCTCCATTCATTTCTATGGGAAAAACCTATACAATCCCAACTATGACAACCTTAGCCCCTACTGAGTCCTCACCTTAGACCAGGGGTCACCAACTCCGGTCCTGGAGGGCTACTATCCAGGACCGGAGTTGGTGACCTCTGCCTTAGACCCTAAGTAAACAAACCAAATACAAGACTTTTGTCAATTTTAGTTATTTGATTGCAGTCACAGATTTATATAAAAATGAGTTTCCCCATGGGGGCCCTGAAAAAATGATCCTCACAATGTCAAAGTAACAGGTTTTTATCGTCCCTACAATATAACATATCAAACACACACACAGACACACACATACACAATGTGGGCAAATCAGAAACACTGGTTATGTGTTAAGTTGCCTGTGGACTCCAGGAGGAAACTAGAGAACCAGCAAGTGCTTTAGCATATTATCATTATCCTAGTAATCATAAAGAGTTTGTGTCCTAGCAGCCATAATAAAACAATAGTCTGATTTTCTATGTATACTCTGACTTTGCGGAGGTGAAAATGCAGCGTCAGAGGGGCACTGTGCACAGCAGTCCCTCAACATAAAAATTATGTTTATGTTTATTAAAAGTACATTTTCTACTGAATATTTAATTTAAGTAAATATGAAGTTGGTTTTGTTGGTGGGAATGTTTTGTGTGAATGGAATGACAGTGGTTTAGGTCATATAATGCATGTGGGGTGATGCAAATGCTTCTGTTCCTGATCTTGGAGCATATTGCATTCAACAAAACTTGAGGTGTGTGTGGGGGGGTGGTATTTATTTCAATAGGCAAAAATTCTCAAGTGTGCAATAAAATACTGCCCTGTAATTAGAATTTTTGACACAAGTCACCATTCTTGATAACTTAGTTGTTCTCCAGGGTGCATGGGAAACGAACAAGATGCGTCCAGTCATCCTGGGAACTTTGGAGATGCAAAAAGAAGCATGCGCTGATGAATATCACCTTTTGTTAACTATTCTCACTGAATGCTAGTGAATCGGGCATGAGGAGATATCCAGGGAGGAAATCAAAAAATAATGGAATTTTTCTGTGAACAGATTATAAACAGTGCCTGTGTTCCACTGCTGTACTGAAACCATTCATGTTCCCTGAACTTGAAAAGATTTGCCTTGGAAACGGAGCTTCATGTGACACGTGTGAGCCTGTGTGTGCGCATCGGGGAACTGATAAATATGCAGGAAGAACGGCGGGGCCTCCGCTTTGTGTGAAAATGAGCTTATGCAAGTTTAATGATCTGATTTCGGCAGATTTAAACCCCGACCCATCTAAGATTGCAACACTGACGAAAATGTTCCAACTCGAGCCCCCTTGGAGCCAAGACATGACGAGCATCAGGGGAGGAAGACAGACGTCTGATATCAGTGCATGCAGAAGAGGGCTATGAAAGAGGGGACCTGCCTGTCTGATTTGTGAACGGCAAGGTGGGATACATGGGGGAAGGAATGATGAAACATCACTCCCGTTTGAGCACCAGCCTGGCAGAAAGCATCTGAGCCCTAAGAGGGTGGCCCTTACTGGGAAGCTGGACCTGGGAGCTTAAGGGAGATTCTACAGTCATAGAATCAAGGCCCCAGAAGCTCAGCCTCAAGCTTACCACTATTATACCCATCCTCAGACTGAAAACCACAGATGAATCTCAATATGCGTACTTCAGCGTACTTGTGTTCTCGTGTACCCGTTTTACGTCATCTTCCATGACCGAAGACCAGTTCCAATACCAAGGACTCAAGTACATGAGGACGGTAAAAATCCCCGGATGTTGGTCTTGCTCCTTCCCAAATATCAAGGATATACTGGTTGCATCCTCACCTAATGAGACCACTCCCATGCTTCATTGCGCCTCAAGTTCTTTCTTGGAAGGCAAGTTAGCAAGACCAGTCTTGCCAAGACCAAAAGTATGGGCGTTCCTGGTGGGGGCCAAAATCTCTAGCAGTCAAGGGCGTAGATTTGGGTATGGATGGTAGGGACATGTCCCTACCAATATCATGGGAGTTCCATGTGTGTTTTGGGGGGCGGGGAGTTTTAATGTCCTACCAACATTAAAGCCAAACCTAGGCTCTTACTAGCAAAGCCCCAGCCCAAAGCTTTGATGCAAAAACATCATCATGGTGTCCAGAAATTCATCATCACATCAGTGTGTAAATGATACATTATTATAAATCCACAATTTACAAATAAAACAGATCTAATGACATGGTAAGTTAATAAAAATCTGTTTAAGAAAGTTTAACTGTTAATAACCAATTTCACCTGGATGTTATTGTGAAGTTCTTCATAAATATGTCACTGGGAGGTCAGGCAGGGGCTGCACATGGACGGAGAAGAATGGAGTGTCTGCGATGCTCTCCGCCCCACTGCTAATAAAATTGCCTTCATACATCTCCGTAGTCATTAGCATACAACGGATGAATAGGAAACTGCGGTATGAGTGTAAATAATGAGGCTCTGTAATGAAGCTCCGGCCTGGCTCTGTCCTGCAGTTTACCTCTGACTGGATAAAGCAGATTCTCTTCACGTGGTTCTATGTTATTTTTGTCTCGAGTGACCCCTGACTTCATGTTTTAAATGCAACCGCACAGGAGTGGAGTCAAACTATAATTACGTGACAGGCTTGTAATCATGGAAAGCCCAGCGGTAAACGTGCCTACGGAACGGATGGCTTTGTGAATGACCGCGGGGTGGGAGGAGATCAGCCGTGTGTTAGCTCTAGTCTAGTCAAACCAACTAGTACTTCTATATTATAGAAAGGAATGTGGTAGAATAAAAAAACTCCGTAGTTCTGCTTTCCGAGGGACAAAAGGTAGGTCATGTGTGAAATGGAAATTCTCAGACTGTACCAACAGACCTGGAGTTTGTTTATCTCCCAGTATCCCTAAACTCATGGATAAATATGTTGTTTCCTGTTCAGTAAAACCTAAGGTCATTACTTAAATAGACAAGAGGGAAATGTTGATGGAGGGTCTGATTTCTTGCATCCCCGGGGAAGGCGAGGCCCTTTAATACACCCAGCTTAAGCAATGGATGGAGAACGAGTCAACCGGGGTTTGATATGGGGGGGGTGACGTCCCCATCGCATTCCAGCACAGACCCCTGCGTCCCGCCGTTGCTGGTGGAGATGACGTCCGCGGGCTGGGCGCCCCATCCTGGATGGCGCGTGGAGGAGGAGTGATTGATTCTGACACGCTGCCCACACATGCCTTTCTCATTAAAAACCTATCATGTTAAAAAAAAGCCCCGTCTGCAGCAGACAGTGCACTGCATGCTGATGGGTTTTTTATTGCTTTGACCGCGACGTCTGCTTATCTGAAGAGGAAAGGGCCCATTATGGAAAGGGGTGTTGTAATTGAAAGACAATTTAATCCAGGAATTGCAATAGCTCACGCAAGACAGTTGTATTGATGACACACAAAAGCCTCTGAATCAACAGTTTGTGTGTGTGTGTGTGTGAGTGTGTGTATGTGTGTGTGTGCGCACGCGTGGGTGTGTATGGGGCAGTTGGTCATCTAGTGGTTAGGATGCTTGCCTCTGGACCAAGAGATCACGGGCTTGCGTTCCACCTCTGGCACCATCTTTGGGTCCCTGAGCAAGACCCCAACCCTAACAATGTGTGCGGGGAGGAGGGTCAAATATTACACTTTGTCCCCACAATGTGATTGACACCTGTCATTTTGACGTTGTGGGGACAATTTTTTTTTTAGGAAACTCAATTTTATAAAAATCTGTGACTGCAAGCAAAAACTAAAAGTGTCTTGTATTTTGTTTGGTTACTTGAGGCTAAGGCTTAGGCAGGGTAGAGGATAGACACTGCCCACAAAGACCTGGATACTAACATCTATGTGTGTGTGTGAGTGCGCGCGCTCAAGTATCAAATGGTGGCTTGTCTACTTGAGAGTGCTTTAAATACAGTTTCACTTTTTTTTTTTTTTTTTAATCAGAAACCTGGAGCGTCAACATCCAGATGTTAGGGAACGTTGTAGTCTCAAAGCAAAGCTCGATAAATCAAATTTGGAACCAGATCCACTCTAAAAATAATTCCGATCAGGAGAACAGCTGCTGTAGCTCTATAATTTACACCTTTAAGCTGCCCGGGAAGACACAATTCTCTATATTCAATCATTCATGCTCTGACTAAAATATGCATCAACAGCCAGCAATGTGTGGAAGGGGGAAGTACATCACATGCACAATTTCAGTCTCCAGGAGCTAGTAAAAGACATCTAGGTAGTTAAAGCCAGCAGCATTGTCCCTGTGGGAGCCAAAGACCCTATAGCTTTACACACATGACCGGGGCAGTAATGCAGAATGACTCACTGAGGATGACCCAGGACCTGCAAAAGAAACTGCTCCACGAGTGAATTTAATTATGGTAATATTGAGCCTGTCTGCGAAACCCTGGGTCGTTATCTAAATAGACGTGGAGGAATATTGACACGGAGGCCCGGCTTTTCAGACCTCAGGAGAGCTGAGCTCTTCAGCCTGAGTGAC